AATCAATTAGGAGCTAGATCAGCTATGTACAGTATTAGGCAATGGCATACTGTACAGTGTTCATTCTTGTTTGCATTGACAGACATGCCTATTGTGTTAATGAGATCACATCAACTTGTGGTTTGTGTTGCACAATAGAGGTTATTATACAGACATTGTTCTTATAGCATTGACAGTAAACCCTGCCCATATATGTGCAATCACGCACACAGGAACACACACACACGCTTTATTGCGGCGGCAGATGTTGACAGTTTTTGAGTCGTGTAGGTAAATACCCTGGACTATGACAGGGCCCAGTGTAGGCCATGTTGACACAGCTGTAGGAGGCTCGCTGGGCTGTGTGTAGAGTGTTAAACTGGTTGTGTACAGAGCCGGGACCTGGGGGCTGTCTGGACATATCAGATATGTGAGAGGTCTCACTACATGCTCTCACAAGGAAAGAGGCAGCACATCTCATGTAACTACAGCTTCACGTGACTATTTCATAGGGAACTGCCCATGATCACTAAGGAGTGTATTAGCTACCTACTATCTTTTCAATACTTTTAGTAATTGGATTTGAATCTTTGAATATTACATTCAAATGTATTAAATGATTTATGAAATCAAACAATCATTGTGCATGCATGGTCTTAACGTTTCAGACAAGTAATTAAACTGGTAATGGTCGCTTCTCTGGAACTTCTGTGGTTGAGCAATGTCAGTATGCTGCCAGAACATGTCCAGTGTCATCAAAGAAGTATTAATTTTTCTGTGTAATAAACAATCTTAATAACACAGGAGGTTGGTGGCACCTTAATTGGGGAGGACGGGCTCGTGGTAATGGCTGGAGCGGAAAAATTGGAATGGTATCAAACACATGATACCATTCCATTTGCTCAGTTCCAGCCATTATTATGAGCCGTCCTCCCCTCAGCAGCCTCAACTGCTTAGTAAATAGAACGCCAAAGGTGCATAAAGAAGTCGGCCCCCATGTACTTACCACAAAGGCCTCGTTTGCAAAGTTCGCCGTATTGTACATTGCTCTCCACACAGTATACATGATCCAGATTCTAGCTCCAAGATGGTGGCAATTTATAAAAACGAAAAAGTAGATTGTGCTGATTTACTGGCACATTGAAGATGTCGTGCACCGTAGTTTAAGAACTCTTGTGTGTAGTGCTAAAAACAATGACGTCATATCTGAATTCCTCCATCTTTATGCACCTTCACCATTGGAATGTATCCATTCTACGTGAATGTTTTTGCCTGGAGCGATAGATTACAGTTAATCTACGCATAGGGCTGTGATGATCATGGAATTTTGGATGACTGTAATTGGCCAGCCAAATGACCACGGTCACCTACTGTTAAAATTAATGTTTTTTAACGCACATTTTCTCCTCTCCTCCACTCCTGCAGCTATTGAAGCCATATAAATAGTGGGCTGCTGCTGCATTGTGGGGTGCGTTGCCTAGGCAACTGAAGATTCCTTTGCTTGTTTCAGCAATTGTTAAGAGTCCATGTTACGGCAGAAATGGACTCAAACGCACAAATGCCCAGCCGTCCCGTCTTCAGTCAGCAGTTCCACATGTTTTTTCTTCTATAATTTTTAAACGGTTATGACGGTTATCCATAACCGTTGGTTACACGGTTATTGTGCCAGCCCTATAACTACGCATATTGATAATTTAGCTATAAATGATTGCTAATGATATACAACAGACAACATGATTATGGTGCATAAATACAATAAAGTGAGTCATTCCCCAGCCTTGAACAACGAAAAGTCTAACCTCCTTCCTAAGCTTATCCATGGGCTTACATACAATAGGTGTTTGATCATGCCCACATACCCTATGAGGCAATGCATTTCATAAGACTATGCACTGGTGAGAAATTCATACCGTATATTGCATGGCATATTTGTAAATGTCAAAGGTGCTGGAAGTAGCATCCACTAAGATAAAATGTTAAATGGGCTAGTGTGCATTGACAATAGCTGTGTATAGATTTAACACAGAGAAACAAAGACAAAACCTGGTACTTTGGCAAGTTCACTCAAATTCACTTCTAAATTATTGATGTGACAGATTGTTATCCTATGAGGCTTAAGAAACTCCCACACATTTTGGTACTTAAGGAAGTATTCTTTCAAAACATGGCCCCTTAATTAGCCTGTTCAACCTCTCTTTCGTAACGTCTGAGATCCCCAGAGATTGGAAAGCTGCCGCGGTCATCCCCCTCTTCAAAGGGGGTGACACTCTAGATCCAAACTGTTACAGACCCATATCCATCCTGCCCTGCCTTTCAAAAGTTTTTGAAAGCCAAGTCAACAAACAGATCACCGACCATTTCGAATCCCACCGTACCTTCTCCGCTATGCAATCCGGTTTCCGAGCTGGTCATGGGTGCACTTCAGCCACGCTCAAGGTCCTAAACGATATTATAACCGCGATCGATAATAGACAGTACTGTGCAGCCGTTTTCATTGACCTGGCCAAGGCTTTCGACTCTGTCAACCACCGCATTCTTATTGGCAGACTAAATAGCCTTGGTTTCTCAAATGACTGCCTCGCCTGGTTCACCAACTACTTCTCAGATAGAGTTCAATGTGTCAAATCGGAGGGCCTGTTGTCTGGACCTATGGCAGTCTCTATGGGGGTGCCACAGGGTTCAATTCTTGGGCCGACTCTTTTCTCTGTGTATATCAATGACGTCGCTCTTGCTGCTGGTGACTCTCAGATCCACCTCTACGCAGACGACACCATTTTGTATACATCTGGCCCTTCATTGGACACTGTGTTAACAAACCTCCAAACGAGCTTCAATTCCATACAACACTCCTTCAGTAGCCTCCAACTGCTCTTAAACACTAGTAAAACTAAATGCATGCTCTTCAACCGTACGCTGCTTGCACCCGTCCACCCGACTAGAATCACTACTCTCGACGGGTCTGACCTAGAGTATGTGGACAACTACAAATATCTAGGTGTCTGGTTAGACTGTAAACTCTCCTTCCAGACTCACATTAAGAATCTCCAATCCAAAGTTAAATCTAGAATCGGTTTCCTATTTCGCAACAAAGCCTCCTTCACTCATGCTGCCAAACATGCCCTCGTAAAACTGACTATCCTACCGATCCTTGACTTCGGCGATGTCATTTACAAAATAGCCTCCAACACTCTACTCAGCAAATTGGATGTAGTCTATCACAGTGCCATCCGTTTTGTCTCCAAAGCCCCATATAATACCCACCACTGTGACCTGTACGCTCTTGTTGGCTGGTCCTCACTACATATTCGTCGCCAAACCATCTATAAATCACTGCTAGGCAAATCCCCGCCTTATCTTAGCTCATTGGTCACCATAGCAACACCCACCCGTAGTCTGCGCTCCAGCGGGTATATCTCACTGGTCATCCCCAAAGCCAACACCTCCTTTGGCCGCAATTCCTTCCAGTTCTCTGCTGCCAATGACTGGAACAAATTGCAAAAATCTCTGAAGCTGGAGACACTTATCTCCCTCACTAACTTTAAGCATCAGTTGTCAGAGCACCTTACCGATCACTGCACCTGTACACAGCCCATCTGAAATTAGCCCGCCCAACTACCTCATCCCTATATTGTTATTTATTTTGCTCATTTGTACCCCAGTATCTCTATTTGCACATCATCTCTTGCACATCTATCATTCCAGTGTTAATACTAATTGTAATTATTTTGCACTTTAGCCTATTTTATTGCCTTACCTCCATAACTTGCTAAATTTGCACACACTGTATATTATATGTATTTCTGTTGTATTTTTGACTTTGTTTTGTTTTACCCCATATGTAACTCTGTGTTGTTGTTTTTATCGCACTGCTTTGCTTTATCTTGGCCAGGTCGCAGTTGTAAATGAGAACTTGTTCTCAACTGGTTTACCTGGTTAAATAAAGGTGAAATAAAAAAATAAATTAATTTTAAAAAAATTAGTTACCCCTCCTTATATTTAGCTACCAAATGTCAATTAAAGAAACATATCATGTAAAAATAAAGCTTTTATTAAAATGTCAAAGCCATTTTCCATTTGAAAACCACAGAAATGCTGACAAAGTCATTTAAGTAAAGTCATTATGATGAATAAGTTACACAGGTCTTTGGCATGCCGATGACATGCACATCTTTAGTTACAGCAAACAGCACAGCATGTCACACTGCTAATGATATATTCAGAGCTTGGATGTTGTAGCAAGACCAAAATTCTATTATAAAATAATATACAATAACCCTGTTGCTTCACATGTCAGTTCAAAATGTTCTATATTATTAACATTTCAACAACAGAATTCTTAAAATGATCTTACTTTTCATTGTGTTATACAATATCAATTAATAGAAGGGGTCTACAATTAAGAGAACAGCATAAACACACACACCCCTGTGTTTGAGGAATAAGATCGTGCCAATGCCAAAATAATGCAATTCTTGTGTGTCTGTCATCAGTACAACAACTTCAAAATGGCTGCCTTATCTTCTTCAGTAAATACACAGTGAATATTCATTGTATTTACAAGTACAGTAGTACCAATGTCAAATATACACAGGGACTTTGGTACAGAATAGAAAAACATACAACAAAATGCAAATATAGTTTAGAATACACCATATACATCCACATGTCGCTTTGGTCACAGAAAAATAAATAAACAATAATCAAGGCACAAATGTATCCCCTGATAAACCTGCTACAAAAATGAATTACGATAGCTGCTACACCGTTACATTCAACCTTTAAATCCGTGTTCACTTGTGAATTGTGTATAACTCGCCAAACATGACAAAATATTCATATTTATAGAACAACAAATTAAATGATTTCCTTTTTGATAGAGGAAAAATGCAGTAGCCACAGTGACTGGTATTCCAGTTGCGCTGCAAGCTGGACAGCAGGACAATGCATTAGTAAGCACAACAGTAAAGGCAATCTTAGCTATTCCATAAAATCAAGAATACATTCTCCATCAAAACTCCTATTTAAGGTGCTGGTGCCGCCACCTCAAAAGCATTATTGTTTAGTAACCACAAGATCATTCACAGTAAGTCTAAATGTCCACTGTTCAGACTCCGTAAACACCACACTTGCTGAGTATCAGGCAAGAATGAAAAAATCTGCTATGTTACATTGATCGCCATTGTCATCTGTGCAATCAACAGCTCTCCACTTTGCAGATGGATACAGAGCTGATCCATTACAATTTGCACAACAACACTTTAACCCAGAGGGAATGCTTGATTTAAATACTGGCACCCCTCTCAACCAAAGCTTGCACAACGATGCACATTGATGGCACAAGAGCCGAGACAGGAACTGCCTCTCCAAATTAGAGATGCTCACTCTGTCTGTCCACCAGTGTAGCCACTATCACAGTGCACATAAATCAGTGCCACCTGTTCAATGACCAGAAATTACCTTCAGATGGCCTGTACCATTAGCAACTTTTGCTAAGTTGGGGTAGTGAAGCCCCACTGGCTACATATCCAACCCCTTCCCTTTCGATAAAACACCAGTTGGTTCAATCCTCAGTGTCAGGCTGGACCCCCAGCATGATGTGGAGCTCTTCGGCCGAGTAGCCCAGAAGATTCTGCAGGTCACAGACGAAGCGGTAGACGTAGCGCTTGCCCGAGGTCTTGTGGATGATGTTCTTGTCGTAGTAGTATCGCAAGCCACGGCTCAGCTTCTCGTAGTTCATCTTGGGCTTGTTCTTCCTGCGGCCCCAGCGTCTAGCCACCTGGAGGAGGAAAGAGAGAATGATAAACGTAAATGGAAAACAGAGTCCTTCACTACATCTTGATGTCCTCTGATGGCTCGTGTTGAAGACTTTTCTGGTCCTGTAAACTAGGGGTGTTGCCGATCTCGTCATACTCGTATTTGTAATTGTATCCATTTTAATCACGGACGACCCGGAAGTGAGGTTTAAATGCCGGTAAAGCCTATACCTCAATTGTGGGGGTATTTATTAAGCTACTCAGTAAGTAGACAGACAAAAACATATGTCCTCAGCAAAGTCGACGGAAAATATAACTAGATTGATAGCTAGAACAACAATCACTAGCTATGGATTCTGATTCACACAATGTTTGTAGATGGGGAGTAATGTGCCCTGATACGAGTGTGTGAGACGGAGCCCCGCTTATTTCTGTCTGGGGAAATAAGAGCAGAGGGAGAATGGCTTTTTCTAATCCAATCGTTGAAGCAGGCTCAAACGATACCCCGCCCGTTTCTTTACAGATGGAAGAACTAGCCAATAGTTCTTTAGAGCACAAAGGGCTTCACACTGTTTGAGTGACAGAGAGATGCGTGCTGGCAGCTGACAATTACTTTTTTAATTACAAAAAATACTTGTCATAATCGCATTCCGAAAATTCTCCATATCCGTTGCGATACTCTTTTTGTCAGAGTACTCGGTACACCCCTACTATAACCCTTGTGGCTATCTCCTCCACAACCTGATATACACATATTGTATGAGGCCAATTGACACTCACCTCATCTGGGTCAGTGAGTTTGAATTCCCAGCTGTCTCCTGTCCAGCTGATGATGGCCTGACAACTCTTATCAGTCAGGAGCTCCAGCAGGAACTGCCACAGCTGGATAGGACCACTTCCTGTTGGGAGGAAAAAAAAGGCAGAGGAGTCAGACGGCGATCAAAAGGCATAATTTGTGTATACACAATTGCAGTGTACTGTTTTGAACTGGAGTTGAAACTGGGGTTGACAGAGAGATAGAAAGTATTCCATACAAGATGAGCTGGGTTTGACTGTCACTGGGTTCATGAACTCACCAGTGAAGCCAGCCAGCACGGCAGCAGGTATGACAGGCTTTCCCAGTTCCACAGGCTCGTTCCTCTCCTGGACGTAGTCCTTGAAGGATAGGCCCTGCTTCCCCAAGCTCAGAGGGCTGCTGTTGTACTCGTCCTCAAAGCTGTCGTGGGACGGCACCCTCTGGTTGTCTGCCAGGGAAGACTGGCTACCCCTGGAGCGCAGCATGGACTTTGGCCCCTCAATGCTGTCCATGCTCTCCAATGAACACAAACTCTGGTCCTGGGATGAGACTGTGGATAAACAAAGCAGAGAGATGGTTAGTTCAACTGAACTGGATCAGGTTAAGGGACTATCACTGAATTAAAACATCTGTTGAGAATCGCTTACATGTGTTCCCTTGGAAAATGAACACTAATTAATTAACATTGATTAATAGCTTCCAGACAACAGTGGGTTGGCCTACTCACAGGCTTTGGAGATTTGCCCTGCGCCTGGGTTGCTCCTGATGTAGCTGACATTGACCGTGCTCAGCTGGGGCTTAGAGAACATGGAGAACTCCTGATCTCGGGTCAGCAGGGTAGTCTTGTCAGATGTCTCAAACAGCTCTCTCAGCAGACTACTGCTGTTGTCAGGCACCTGCAGGACACACTGGGTCTCCTCCAGACTGAAGCCTGTAGAGAAGAACATATGCCCACTTAACTCATCTCATCACACCCATCCCTCAGAGACCTCTTTGGACAGCTTAAAGGCCCAGTGCAGTCAAAAGTGTGATTTTCCTATGCTTTATATATATATATATAATAATACTGTGAAATTGTGAAAATTATGATATTGCCCTTTTAGTGCAAGAGCTATTTGAAAAGACCGCTTGAAATGTCTGCCTTTTTTCATGGGATGGAGTTTTGGCGTGCTTGGTGATATCACTAGACAGTCAATTTGTTAATAGACCAATAAGAAAGAGTTTCAAACCTCTCTGCCAATAACAGCTAGTTTTCAGTTTTCCCCTCCCCACTCAGACCACTCCCAGACAGTTTATTTTTGACCATTTTAATTGAAAACAATCACAGTAAGGTACTTAATTGTTACCCAGAAATGATTTGATATTGAGATATAAAAAAATGGCTGCATTGGGCCTTTAAAGCTTCTGATGTTCAAATGAAGCTGAAGCCAAACTGTTTTGTCTATCTGATGTTTACTTGGATTTGAACCCTCTGGTGGTTAGTTAGTTTTTCTAATGGACACTCACCGACAGAGCTCATCCAGTTGGTTACTGAGGGCACAACACTGCTGAGGCATTTGGATTCTTCTCTCTCTTGACACTCTGGAAGAAAACAAGGGAGGATAAAGTCAGGAACCGTCAGAAATATTGTTATTTGATTTTAGCATGTATCTCTTAGCCAAAGGGTACAGTAATTCTACAGAACAAAGAAAACCCTTTCCACCCTTATACAAAAAAAAAAACGGATAGGTATCAGAAACATTGAAATGACTTCACCTATTCTTTCCTCCATCTGCCTTCCACACAAACACCATCTGACTAAAAGTTCCACCACCATTGTTACCTTTCATCATCTGGTCCAGGTGCTCCCACAGGATGTCACCCACAAAGTCTGGGGCCAGGTCCAGGAAGCTCTCCTTGCCCAGGTCACACAGCTCCTGGCCGTTCATGTCAAATTTAAAGAAGTGGACGTTGGCCAGGCTGAACTCACTGGCCGCCCAATGGAGCCACTGCATCACGTGCTGCTTGGTCCACATATGAGGGTCTGTGAAAGCGAGAAAGAAAAGAGATAGGGCTAAATTACTAAAAAGTTTATGGACACCTCAACAAAATACACCAGTCTTTGTCTTGATTTGACTTAACTAGGCTTACTTTTTAATGATTAAAGGACAAATCTCAATTTTTGATGTAAATGGTATGTTATAGAAGTGTCCAGACACTGTTTTTTGCGATTTCACTTGGTTTTGAGAAACTTACCACACCAGCAATAGACTTCCTAATTGCTCCTTCTGCAGTATGGGGCCACGGATAAACATGAACCAAGACTCCCAAAGAAAACAAAATACGTCCTTTTTCGAAACAGCCAATACTTTTCTGTGTGTGAGCATTTACGTGCTTTTTCGTTCCCATTGTGGTAACACGAGAAACAAGAAAGCACGTGCATGCTCGCACACGGAAAAGTATCGCTCGAGTCCAATAAAATGGAATATAAAGTTGCGGATAAAGTTCGGAATTACATAATTTCAAGTGTACAACATCTAAAGACCTTTTTTGCCTTTTCTAAAATGACATATTTGGGTGTTTTTGGAGCCTTTGTTCATGTTTATCTATGGCCCCCATACTGCAGAACGAGCAATGAGGAAGTCTATTGCTGGTGGGGAGCTCTCTTTCTCCAAACCAAGTGAAATCGCAAAACAAATGTCTGGACACTTCTATAACATGCCATTTACATCAAAAATAGAGATTTGGTTAAAAAAGGTGAACCTGTCATTTAAACAGGTGAAAAAAAAGGCTTAAACACTCAACAGGTGGGAAAATGTCATACAACACATTGTGTTAAAGAGTAGAAATCAGGAGCTAATCTATTATGGAAGCTGGGCTGAGTACAAAGCCTTCAAAATGAGCCCAAAATGACTGATCTCTAATCCAGTACAACATTAGCTAGGAATTGAACAAAAAGTAAACAATGTCATCCTTGTAGAAAACATATAAATAGAAATGAAGAAAAAGGGAGGACAATGAGAATGAGCAGGGGTAGAACGTGACTCACTGTTGGAGATGCCACAGTTGCGTTGGACCTTGGAGAAGCCACTGAAGCTGTCCTTCAGGGCCTGACTCATCACTGCCTTACTGCACGGGGTCAAAAGAGGAACAGAGCAGGGGCCCATGTCTGGAGAGAGGACAAAAAAAAGTTTGATTACTCTATGAAGCAACCTTTCTTATGTAATAACATTGTTTTAACAGTGTCATAACATTGTTTAAAGACCCAGTGCATTCAAAAACGTGCATTTCCTGTGTTTTATATATATTTACACACTATGAGGTTAGAATAATACTGTGAAATATTGAAAATGATGATGATGCCCTTTTAGTACAAGAGCTGTTTGAAAAGACCGCCTGAAATTTCAGCCTGTTTTGGTAGGATGGAGTTTTGGTATGCCTGGTGACATCACCAGGTGTTTAATTAGTTAATAGACCAATAAGAAAGAGTTCCAAACCTCTCTGCCAATAACAGCTAGTTTTCAGTTTTCCCCTCCCCACTCAGACCACTCCCAGTTAAATTCTTGCTTGAGAAATTGCTCTTCGCAAAGAAGCTATTTTTGTTTCATTTTAATTCAAAACAATCACAGTAAGGTACCTAATTGTTACCCAGAAATTACTTAATATTGAGAAGAAAAAAAATATATGCTGCATTGGTACTTTAAAAATAATCTAAATAGGGTTCAGACAGTTTAAATGGGCTAGCTGCAGTGGACCTGGATGAGAGATTGATTAACAAAGTTTGGGTTATGGATCATTGTTAACCACAAATAAACACCAGTTTTTCTATTTATCATTAATTAAAACCAGTATGCCAGCAATCAGTTGAACTACATTGTTAACTGTGGTCCTCTGTAGCTCAATTGGTAGAGCATGGCGCTTGTAACGCCAGGGTAGTGGGTTCGATCCCCGGGACCACCCATACGTAAAAATGTATGCGCACATGACTGTAAGTCGCTTTGGATAAAAGCGTCTGCTAAATGGCATTTTATTTTTTAACTTTGTGACATGTCTCGCGAATAATCTTACTAATAGAGTTTGGTCTGACTTTGACCTGCGGTGATTAGTTGGTATAGGTGTTATGAAAGTGCTTTGGTGTAAAGTAGAGGGCTAGAGTGATGTGGCACTCATTGGTAGGTTGTGGTGGTGGCGTACCATGCGAGACACAGTTGAGGCCAGAGGGCACCTCCTGAAAAGACTGCTCCTCGTCTGAGGGGAGGAAGTATACCGAGAACAGAGACATGGGATCTTCAAACAGGTCAAATGCTGCCTGCCGCTGTGGAGGACAAACACATAAAAAACAACATACTGTTAGTTTAAATTAAAAGACACAAAACATGTATTTTGCCTGATGATATAAGAAAGCCCCATACTACTGTATGTCTACATAATTTGATATATTAGGTGAGACAAGTATAGCCCTGTACTGATGACCAACACCTGATCACCTACAGATACTGTGAATCATTTAGGAAATACCTCATTCACTTTTTCAGACGGAGTCACATAAAGTGAGATAAAAGACTAAAGATAACTGGGCAGGCAAAAGCAAAGATAGAAAAAACGATGTATGTGGGCACTCCCTTTCAGTAGAACCAATCTGTCATCATTAGTCAAACATCAGGCCTTTCTCATTCTCCCAGCTAGGCCTGGCCGTGAACCGCTGGGAGAGGACGACCATACATGGTCTTCCTGTTCCGTAGCAGAACTAGAAACTCCCCTTGATGCAGCTGGCAGCAGTTCAGCTCTGAGGGTTTATGAAACAGCGTAGGCGGCTGCTTTTTGAGAAAAAAAACTCTACCCCCTCCTCCTCTTCCCTCTATCCTTCTCTCTCCCTTTTCCCTCTCTCTCGTTCCCCCTCTTCAAATCAGGTTAGACAAACCAGGCTCTTCTTCACAATTCTATTAGCTAAGATGGAGCCCTTTTTAGATTAGCTCTCTGTTTGAATCTGCACTGTACCCATCTCAGACTTCTTTTGACATTATACAACCAAGCCGCACATGAAACCTTAACAAATCATTAGGACATTGATAGTAAAGATGTAAGCTAAAGTGTCATTTGTGCGCCTGTCTATTACTATAAGGTACGATAATTTTTTATTCAAATAACTCCCCACACTCGAAGTGGAGAACCAAACACCATCCTTTTTCATACATTAACTGTTTAATGATTTGTCTATTTATTTAGCCTTAGAAAAGGTAGGCTGGCACAAACAGGGCCCTCAATGTCTCAAGAGCATTTTTTCCTGCTAGTTGCCAAGGGGACTAATTGAGTTAGTGGCAGTAGAGAAGGTGGAAAGACTGAGAGCCTCTCCTCCATCAGCTCCCCAATTATCTTCACATGTAATATGCCTGTCCTCTTTCCTTATTATCTTGTGGTTAAAGTTAGAGGAGAAGAATAGCAGACACAAGTGTGCTGCAACACACAGGATTTGAAAATAAATCTCTGCTGATATTTGATCTTTGGAAGCCGTGCTTTCTTAACTCCCCAATAGCCTTAAGTGAAGGGTGCTCCAACTCCAGTCCCGGAGAGCTATTGGCTGTGCAGGATTTTGATCCAGCCTTGCAGTATCAGTTGTGATACAGTAGTCCTATATGTACTATACACAACTCCATCTCCAGCACTACGATGTATGCGATTTTGCTACTTATCTACTGTATTAGTAGCACAGCCTTGTGAAGTCTCACCTTGAGGCTGGAGCGATAGCCAGTGGACAAGGGGGCCACTTGGTCCATGCTGAGGTCACACATCAGGAATCTACAGGTCAATTACAGAGAGAAACTTTATGAGCAACACTAATACACATCAATAATGACATCACACTGGATGGACATTTTTATGATACTGTATGTGTCTCTGAGGGTTGTAATATGTTTCTCTACAATGACAATGAATTCGCAGCCAGCCTATAGATCAACTGTTCTCCTAAATAGTAACAACAAAATGTGCAATGTATAAATATGATTATATTACAATGTCTTATTTTATACCGAGCACATAATGGTTTAATAGAGCCTAAATTGTGTTAGGCTATTACATGATATGCATAAAGCCTGCACATTGAATTCAATATCCTAATGCATTGGCACACTTTCCAAAGCAACCTGAACACTATTGAATAAATAGGCTATTGATTTGGCTAGTTTGGGGAATTACTTACACATGTTAAAAACATAAATATTTTTTTTACAATAGGACAACTATTTCACACACACCATCATTATGACATCACGAATGGCTGAGACAGAAAAAGAGCATAATTCTCTCATTGGTCACAAGTTGAATCGGTCCCCGAAATGACTCAAGGCCCCTCATGGTAGGGGAGGGTGGTCCTTCATATTAGATTAGCGGCCGCAAATTCAATAGTGTTTCCATTGATATAGCCATGTTGAATAATTCGTAAAGATATATTTAATATTAGTGATAAATTAATCGTTACCCCAATTTAAATAATATTTCGCATAGCCTACAAGGCATGGGATGGGATTTACCTTTGGGAATAATTCCACCGCAAAACAATTATCGCAAATGTCATGTAGAACAGAAACAAACTATTCAGGAAAGCAGTATAGAGTAAAATGCCACATTGACAGATTGTCTGGGAATAGATCAAAGAACGATAGAAGAGAGACCAATCAAGGACCTACCTGTTGAATTGATCGGCTGTTCCTCAAAACAGCAACAGTGTAACGTTAAATTATATTCCTTTTCGATATTGAACAATTATCCTATTCAATGTTGTATGTGCGCAGGCCTATGCTGTATTTTAGTATTTGTACTTTCCAGATACACTGACCAGTATCAAATCAAAACAATGCACAGTCTTGTTTCTTCTTGTGTGTTTGATGAGCGTATCTAGGCAATGAGGAAGTGCAGCTTTTTTTTTGCTGTTTTCATTGCGCGCTGTGTAGCTCAGTCAGTGGGAGGAGCGAGTAGTAAACAATTGGCAGCACGTGCCCCTCAGTGTTTTTCATCCAATGACTGATGCTTTCCTCACGCCCAGTGGAAAATTATCATAGTGGAACATATTCAACGCACTTTACCGCATGTAAACAGTGTTGCAGTTATGTCATAATAAAACATTTATTAGCGCTGACAACGTGCAGAAGCCAAGCAACTCTGACGCACTTATCCAGAAATATTGTCAGGGATGAATGATGATCAAAATCACACTCAGCTCAGTAATTCATAATAGCCTACTGTGAAATGGCCCTGTGAATCTTACACTTTGATGGTTCAAAGGCAGTGCCACTTGAGAATAAATAAAAAAGATGAGAAAAGTTTCCTCAAGGATATCAATCAATCAATTAACCAACAACAATATTTTTGTTCACTGATATGTTTCAGCCTAGAAGATCACAAACATTGGCCAAAGAGAGATCAGGAAGTTATAGAACATATTACTTCAACTACGGTGCCCCCGCACATTGACTCTGCACCGGTACCCCCCTGTATATATAGCCTCCCTACTGTTATTTTATTTTACTTCTGCTCTTTTTTTCTCAACACTTTTTTGTTGTTTTATTCTACTTTTTTATTTAAAATAAATGCACTGTTGGTTAAGGGCTGTAAGTAAGCATTTCACTGTAATGTCTGCACCTGTTGTATTCGGTGCATGTGGCCAATACAATTTGATTTGAGAAGATTAAGAATGGCCTGATTATTTTGTGTTGGTCTATTTAACATCTGTATGTCACAACATTTCCCATCATGTCTGCATGAGTGGATACCTCCATCCTTAAATTATGCAGTGTAAATTACCATTACCACATCCTCCCAGACACACCACTGAGGGGGACAATGCCTGGAAAATAGAGAGATGTACATTGTGTGATGAAGTGTCACCCTTTATTCTCACCTCTACCACGAGAAAGACGGTAGGTGTAGACCCCCTACTACAAGGGTAATCAGTGAATAGGGTGTGTCCGTATTGTAAAAAGTGCCCTCCCCACTACTTTCAGTCGGGGGGCTGGGGGGGGGGGCTTCCCTCTTATGTTCTCTATTGCTCCTCTATTGTTTGTCAAGCAAGGGGGAGGCCAGTGACATCAGGAATACCCATCAGACCAACTCTTTGAATGCCCTACACTTTGAAGTTTGCAGTTGTGTCTAAAAAAGGACACAACTGCAAACTATTGCTCCTCTATTGTTTGTCAAGCAAGGGGGAGGCCAGTGACATCAGGAATACCCATCAGACCAACTCTTTGAATGCCCTACACTTTGAAGTTTGCAGTTGTGTCTAAAAAACACTATTTTGCTGAAAACATATTTTTTAACCCTTTAGTATGTGTACTTTACTGTATTTATACTTGGGATATTGCTTTTCAACAGTAACAGTTCAAAAATCGCTGGAGGACGTCTTTAAATGGAACCTTTGGGAGAGAAGCTTTAGATTAGTAAAGTTTCAATGTCTAAGCTTGGTTGAGAAGGTTGTGTTTTGATATGTAACCATGAACCTCAACATGCTGTATTTATTTTGAATCATGTAGCATTTGTACATCTTTGCAACTTTGGTATTTTACCCCAAAGTTTCAGGAAGTAGAATAGTAGAGGGCCAGACTTTGGTAGCCTTTATTGGACATAACAGAGGGCTCAAATAAAGTGTTGCCACTTGTGTCTTAGTGATGAGTATGAGGTATTTCTTCTTATGATGATGTCTGTAAGCCTGCAGGGACCTCCTTTAAAAATCACACTTACATAAAAAACCAGGACAGGTCAGAATTAAAGGAAACCATTTCAGAATGCTGGCACATAGCCTTATAATTAAGTGCTGATCCACAAAAGATGTGGAGCACAGTACTAACCCTTAGAATTTCTACCTTGATATCACTCTTATCCAGAGCAATTAGGGATACCTAGTCAGTTGCACAACTGAATGCATTTATCCAAAATGTGTCTACCGCATTTACCCCAACAACTCAGGAAGGTGCAGGGGGCTGCCTTAATCAACAACCACAGCACAGTTGTTGTTGGGGAGATAACTGCCTTGCTCAAGGGCAGAACTACAGACTTTTCAACAAGTCAGCTTGAGATTCAAACCAGCAACCTTTCGGTTACTGGCCCAATGCTCTTAACCACTAGGCTACCTGCCGCTGCGAATATTATAGACATAAACCCTCACTCAAGGCCGCCATGCTCCATTTCCACCTTTTTCTTGTATTGAAATCAACCGGTTGATTCATACATATGATGATGATGATCACAATGGCTATTGCTTGATTAAAATGGACAGCAGCCCTGTATTGAAATGGCCACGAGAGGTCAGATGACAATGAGAAATTATGTGAAACACTAATTTTTATGTAACATCGTTCAACCAATGAAAATATCAATCTGGCCTATTGAAACCTTTGTTGGGTTGCAGGGCAAGTTGCCCGGGTCTGCAAAATGTGATTTAGCTTTTCATTGCACTCATTGCATCCACTGTTGCTAAGCAACTCACAATTCCTTCTCTGTCTGTTTCAGTGCTAAATGTGAACAGAGGGAGAGAGACGAAAGAGAGAGCAATGACGGAGAGAGAGAGAGGAGGGAAATGAGAAGGAGAAAGAACCAGGGATGGGTGTGTGCTGACTGCTGACAAGACATAGACCAGCTTTGAAGGATGTTGATACCTGGCTGCCAATGAATCTACTGCAGATCTGGAGCCTATCACTGATTGATAGAAAGAGCAGCATGTGGAAACAGTTATCTTGGAACAAAGAACCACATTCTCTTGTGAACGCTGGCCTCCGGCCTGCTCAGTTATGGATGTTGGGAAAGACCACGAAAACAGTGGCAATGAAAGGTTTCTCATACTCACGACCAACCATCACGACCAATCACTCATCTTCATTGATTGGTACACATAATGTCTAACAAGAGGGCAATGTATTTAATGGTGCCTACACAGAAGACCGCTCAAACTACTCCTCATAAGACATTCTATGTGTTCCCAGATAAGCTTATCCTTCAAAATCATGACACGTTCTAACATGACTAACACATCATACCCAGAGTGATGCTACTTTTTTAACAGCTTTGTTTTGGCCTCACCATTTTCTTTTGCATGACTCATCAAGTTTTCTTATTTTCTTTTCTTGGAGTATTCGCAAAGGCCTGAACGATTGAGCGTCCAAGTTCAACAGAAATAAAAGCTGAGTGCAGTGCACACACAGCAGTGAAATGTGCTCAGGCATCTGGATGGACAGACCCCTGCCCCACCGTCAGGCCCCTCTAGAGAGAACCCACCGTGAGAAAGTCTTCCATAAAATAATCTCCCAGAGTCGACCTGCTGCTTCGCTCAGAACACTACCGCTCACCGACAGAGAGCCTCTCAGCAGATGGCTGTGCGGCATACCAAAATAGAAGGAGTTTGCATATTTTTATTTTCCCTGGTGTCTTTTTCAGTCCTGAGTGCATGATGGCTTTTCCATACAGAACGGCACATGTTGAAGCTGATACTCATTGTATAGTAATGGTTCCTCTTTTTTTGAAGTTTTACTTAGGCATTTCACACTTAAGAGGCAGTCACTGTTACCATCCCGACTCCTGGAAGGATTGGTACCAATGTGTACCATTAAAGCCGTTAAGTGTCATGACGTAGGTTGGAATCAAATGTTCCTCTCCTTACTAAATATCTCCCCTGATGAGCACTAGACTAGTTCTTTTTAAGATCCACTGGTCCACAGAAACACAGAGATTCACCTGAGCCCAAGGCTCAATCTGTGGAATGAATGTAAGCCCAATGGGCATTGTAAAAGGTAGAGTACCAAATACATTTGAAATTTGACAATAAATCTACCTGCTCATCTGTCCATATTAAACTTTTGTTATTACTGACATCATCAGTCTGTGATAGATTGACCCATTTCTACATCTCCACTTGGTTGGCAGTTCTGTGAAAGTACATGCAGCCATTTGTTTTGATTGGCTGGGGTTGATTTGCTTGGCTATACCTCCCTCTGCTGGCGAACTCAAATAAAAATAGACTTCTGCAAATGTATTAAAAAAAAACTTGAAATGAGCTGAGGTTTTCAGTCCAATTACTCTGCTTAATTTTATGGCTGAAATGTACACACCACTTCACATATTTATTCTCACATATTTATTCAATAATTTGATGATCATTTGCTAAATCATAATACTGAACAAGTCTTCAATCAGAAAAGTACCACATTATGGTTTAAGGTGTCCTTGTCCAGGGACTTGTATGATTTGACACACTGGAGTGTACATTAAAAATTTACAATAAATGTATTCAGGGATAACCATATGAGTACACAATATATCCATACAGCTTAAACAGTTATTTTTTTAAAAGGCTATTGACAATGGGCACACAATTCAGCCTCTAACTAATATGATATCTGAATAAAAACACTGCTCAGTTGAGATATCCCAAAACATGCTCTGGGCACAACAACAGCTTATTCAGAGAGCCAGCCTCCCCCACTCAGTTTTGTGTGTAAAAAAAAGAAGCAAAGTGAAAAAATTATGTGACCATTTTTCATGTGTAATTAGGCAGTGAAATGCGATCCCTTGCTGCAGAGAGAAATCGGCAACCCCGAGCTCCGAGCTGGAGTCAATGGCTTCCAGATTTCAATCCCGACCTCCACTGTCTAGACTCAACGTTGCTCTTTTTCTCCCCTCCCTCCCTCCCTCCCTCCCTCCCTCCCTCCCTGTCGAAAACAGACTCTACACAAAACAGACTACACGAAACACCAAGAAGCCGGGAGGTTCGGTTCTCTGCCCCCCCTCCTTCTTTCTCCCTCTCCCTCTCCCTATTTAGGGGGAGAGAGGGATGTGAGACACATTGTGGCAGGCCAGATGTGGCAGTGTTGTCGCTCTCTCCTCACACACCACAAGTGTCATCTAGGAGAGGCG